TGTGTGTGTGTGTGTGTGTGTGTGTGTGTGTGTGTGTGTGTGGTGGGCTCCTTGGGTCCCGGAGGCTGACTGTTTTGGACCCGGGGTTCTGATGGTAGGGGACCCTGGCACAGCCACTGCTAGCTCTCAGCCCAGTGACTTCCCGGCACTGTCCATCTTGTCTTCCCTCCCACTTCCTCCCACTCACCTCCCTTCCCTCTGCCCAGCCGGGCAGCTTGCCACCGTCACATGCCAGGCAGTAGCGTGTCCGGCCCACCAGCTCCCCTGGGGTACGAGAGAAAGCTGATGCCCACAGTGTCCCTGGAGCCAGCTGCCACTTCTCTGGGGGCCAGTGGGGCTCCTGACCTGCTGTCCGCAAATAACCCTGAGCCTGGCAGCCCAGGGTGCCCTGGGCTCCTTGGCCACCGGCCAGGCCTGTGGCTCCAGGTAGGGGCCCAGCTGGCAGTTGCCTGGTGTCCTTCTCTCCCCGCTCCGGGAACCTGAGACGAAGCCTCGGCCTTGGCGTCCGTCAGTCTGTCAGTTGCTGGTCCCCGAGGACGAAAGCAGAGGTTTCAGAGCAGGACCGGGCTACGGGGGAGCCCCCAGGACTGGTGACTAGGCCTCAGACCGGTGTGGACGCAGTAGGTTGCTTTCTGGCTGGATGCCCGTGTGCTTGCCCCAGGCACGCGTCTCTGCTGTCATCTGGTGGGGCGAGAGGAGGGAGCCCGCTGCCGAGTGACCTGGGAGGGGCCTCCGTTTGTTAGAGGTGGCAGATGGGCTGCTCCCTGGTCTGGGAAAGAGAAAGTAAGAAAGAGAAAGGGTGGGGGAGGCCGGGACATAACAGTAAGTAGATGTGGGTAGCTCTCAGCACCTCCCTTGGGTGCCCCGGGCTGTCTGATTCATCCTGGTTACCTCAGCGCTGGGGCATGGGAGCGACTGACGCAGGGGGCGGCGCCGAGGCCACCCTGATGCCCACTCAGTCGGAAGTGGGGTGAGTGGAGGGGCCATCCCCCACCACATCCCCAGCATTGCGGGCCCTGGCCTACACCCCCCCCAAGGAGCAGTTCCCCCACCCCCACGAAAGCAGGGCCCCCACCTTCACTGGCATCGCTCTGTAGGCAGGAGTGGCCCCTCTCCCACTGATGGTCTCCCCTCCTCTCTTGCAGACCCTGCTGCTCTGCCCAGGACGCCTCCTGCATGTCCTGCTGCCCCAAGCTGTCCTGAACTAGGTGCCAGCGTGTCACGCTGCCACTATGAACGAGGTGTCTGTCATCAAAGAAGGCTGGCTTCACAAGCGTGGTGAGGGGCTGCTTTGTCCCCCACCCCCGCCCCCAGTTCCCCTGCTGCTGGTTAGGAGGCAGGGTTGCAGGAGCTTCATCGCAGGCGGGACGGGCATAGGGCAGCCCCTCCAGATGCCCTCAGGCTAGTAGCTGCTGGCCAGCCTGCTTCCTGGAACCTTTCCGAGACCCCAGGGCAGGGGAGCTGTGGCAGTGCCTGCCCCCTTCCCCGCCCCCCAAGCCCTCAGGCCAGACTAGGTCCTGCGCCCACATGAGCGAGCTGAGGACCCCAGGCTAGATAGAGACCAAGGTGCGGACCCAGAAGTCACTGAGAGAGGGTGGGTGGTGGGTCAGGCCTGCTGCGGTGCTGAGAGCCCAGCAGTGCCCTGAGAGGATGGAGGGGACTCCGAGATAAAGAGGGAGACATGACAACGGGTGGGCGGGTCGGAGCTAAAGAGAAAGGGGGTCAGGGGAGGTGACATTGAGCAGAGGCCTGGAGCAGGTGAGGGAGCCAGCCAGCCAGATGGCTGGGCAAGGCCGTCCTCGGGAGAAGGGACAGCAAGGACAAAGGGCCCGCCGTGGGAGTGTGCCCGGCGTATTCCAGGAACGGCAAGTGTGCCTGTGCAGCTGAGGCAGAGTGAACGAGGGCAAGAGGAGGGCAAGGCGGCGAGGGCCACAGAGGCGCAGCCCCTGGGCCGGGCCCTACAGGCCCCGAAGGACCCTGGCTCGGACGCTGCCTGTGTAGTGGAGCCCGGGGACGCTGCCAGCCAGGCTGTGACGTGTTTGATTGCATGGAGGAAGGAACTCAGACCCAAGGAAGAGGTTCAAAGCCCCAGGGCAGCCTGTCCCTCAGTGGTGACGTCAGCAGGCAGATAGCAGGAGCCTGGGCTGAGAGCCGGCATTGTGCCTACTGGCTTCCGGGCCCTTCCCCCAGGGTGGAGGGGGCCAGGCCCCAAGGCGGCCACTCTGTACCCTTCCATTCATCCAGCAACACTGAAGGAGAGTCTCGGGGGCGCTGGGCTCTCTGGGCCCTGGGGACGCAGCAGTGAGCCAGACAGGAGCCCCCAGTTGACCTTGTGTCCTGGCAGGGAGGGCCGAGAACTCTCATGGGGAGGGGGGTGCCAGTGTGGTGCTATGGAGATCAGTCAACCTGACGAGGGGGCGCTGGGGGCAGGGGGCATATCAAATGTGGGTGTTCAAGCCTTCACTGAGGAGGCTCTGAAGAAAGCAGAGGATAACTGGGGGAGCACTCGGGGCCCTGCCCACCCAGAACGTCCCCAGTAGCGACAAAGGGGTGGGGGTGGTGACTCCTTGCCACCAGGGGCTGTCAGTGGGGTCCTGGCTCTGCCTTGGTTTCCCTGGGCACGCCCTATCATCCCACAGGCCTAGTATCCAGGTTCCCAGCTGTAGGGTGGTTACACCCCGCAGGCCTCTGGCAGCGCTGCCATCAGGAGAAGCTGTCAGCTGGCTTGTTCACTGTGTTGCCCCAGTTCCTGGGAAAGGGCTTGGCTCCACAGAGGCTGGTGGAGTGAGAGAGCAGGATTGGGTGGGTGGATGGTGCTGGGGTTACAAGGTCCCCAGGCTCCAGGCCCTCCCCCGGCATTCCCCAAGGCCCCTGGGTCACCAGGCCAGGCTTGATCTGTGGAATGGGTCTCAGCCCCCTCAGGGCTTCAGATGAGGACGGCCCGGGCTGTAGGGTGGCCAAGCCGGGGCACACCTCCTCCGTGTGGCCAGGGTGACCGGGGCCCCAGTCAGCAGTCACTGCACAGGCCGTTCAGTGGCATCGTCACATCTGCACCAGGAGTGAGCCGTCTGTTTCTGGACCTTTGTCACTGTCTCTCTCTCTCTCTGGAGATAGGAGTCACAGAGCGCACCGTTCATTGGAAATGGATGATTCACTCCCTGGTTTTCAGTATCACAGAGGTGACCATTTCACTGTCCTGTCACACCCCC